GATCACTTGGTTTTTGAGAAGGAACCGAGAGGGGATCACTCGTCGCCGATAGAGTATAAAGGTAGGACTATACAAAATGTACTGCCAATTAACTGCCCATGAGTAGGAGGGGGGAGGGGGGATCAGAAATATTACAGAACCTTATGGAGGGATCTTGTAAATTTTTTGGTGATAAAACCGAAACCCTCCAACCCACTCCTCCCCCCAGTTGATAAATGATGACCGGCTCGTAAAGAGGCGGTTTGGTTCAAGTGACCCACCGGAACAAAGACAGAAACTGACCACACCACACCCAACTGCTAATCAACCAATGATTATTTCTGTTCTTTTGCAGCTTGATTCGAACGTGCTGATAGTCTCAGCAGAGAGGTGGACAGATCTAATAGAACAGACAACCATGTTGATGATGATTCTAGGCCGCTGGCTGCTCCCTACAGCACGAGGCATGACAAAGGACTCCCTCTCACAGCTCCTCCTTGTCAATCTAGCCATGTGCGCAGATATCATCGAGTTCTTCGACATTCTTAAACTGAGCTTCGTGAAATCTTCTCAGACGCTCATAGTGACAATTCTTTGCCTATGGACTTGGAGTTTGATGCAGTTTCCATTCAACACCATGTTAAAACTTGACATCGAAGATGAAGGGTCGGACGAGAAAAAGACAGCAAAAAATATCGGTAAAACTTTGCGGGGGAAAAGAGCAATTGCGCCGTATGAAGAGGAGATGGATATGCCAAACAGAGCTTCAATGACGTCAATAGACTTTAGGCAAGCCATTGCTGCCAAGAGAATGTCACGTGACATTCTACTGATGTCACATAACTATTCACGTGGATTACCAGCTGGTTATCTGCCAGATTTTCGGCGAAATTCATATCAGCCTCATGTAAGGGGCAATGATTATCCCGGGCCTAACACGAACCACGCCCAAGAAGGCATTTTAAATGAGCAATCGAGAGGATCTGGGCGCTTTTCCTTAGATGTGGGACAAATGAGACCGAAAGGCCCGACGGGAAATATGACGACATCAATTACGTCACCGAATCTCAGGCTTGACTTGAAGGGACTACAGGAGGACACGATTCGCTCCAAGGAAAAATCTGCACGAGCCAGTTCAGACGCACTGGAGACAAATGTCGATATAGAGGCTGATTCCTCAGAGGAGGAAGAAACGAAAAAGTCACGCATAACAATAGAACTGTTAGGGATTCTCATGTCTCTATTCATGCAAGACGGACCATTCCTTACCTTTCGTTTATTCATAATCGCCCAATATGGCGCATACGAGTACATGGTGATTTTCTTGACCGCAAAAAATGCGCTAGTCCTGGCGTTACAAGTATACCGGCTTTGTGTTCTTCATTGCGCGTGTTATGACCATAAGGAGAACGATTTCTCGCCCGAGAACGAGATCGATGCTAATTCTCGGCTCAAAAACGTCCAGGTAGCCATATCACACGGGGGTAATGAAGAATCCGAGGACGAGTCTATTCATGCAATGGGCTGGAATTTCTCGAGGAAATGGCGGAGGAGCTTTAAAAATCCATTTTCTTCCTCGCACTTATCCGATTCGCAAGCACATTTAGCGCCATAATACGCTAAACATGCTTAGCCATTACGGTGGAAAGAAGGGGTGGGGAAGAGACACTGTGCTCTCTGATGAGACAATTCACCCCTCCCCACCCCCCTGACGAGCTCCGGCCTTCTTGATTTCACTCCGAAAATTTGGTTTGTGTTCTAAGTTATTGAGTACTCCCTAATTTACCTGGTAAATAAAGATAAGAGCCGCATATTTATACTATCATGATTGAGACTTACAGATCATGAATTCGAAATTTTTCTCTCTCTTGTTCACTGAGTTGATCAAGCTGATAAATCAAGTGACTTTTATCAACATTTTAAAATTTTATTAAGGTATTCACAGCCACTTTTACACAACTAAAGACGGCGGGCTTTTGCGACAGAAGTTTCACATGAAAATATCGAGATAGCTAATTACTTTACGAAATGGTTTCTGCATCGAATATTTGAGACTTTATTGAGAGATTACTGTAATTAAGATCTTTAACGTAAGTTTGCTGACCGTAGTTCACTTGAAAATACAAATGGGCCATAACGCTCTGGGGAATGAAAATACGAAAAACCGAGTTTTGTGGAATTGCTTCATATTTTGGAGTTAGCCAAAGATAAGATTATACCGTGAAATTAAAAGCTTTATGATAACAGAATTCTGTCTAAATATTTTAAGAACAAGTGATAATCCATGAGGACAATGTTGAAATTAAGCCAGTTTCCATTACCGGATTAAGATTTTTTCAGAAGCAAATTTAACGCGTTATTATAAACTAATTGGTTTCTAATAGAAGCGTCACATCAAGCGCTGATAAACGAATTGAAAAATAAAATCTTCATTTTTCACAACTACTTCTACCATATCTTTATAGAAAACAATATCTGCAGTCTGAAACTTGTACTAAAACCGCGACCTACAAACAAAGGTTTGAAAATCTTTCACATTTGTACAATTTTGTACAGTCATGCAGTCAAAACAATTAAGAAGAACGTATGCAAGTCATGCAGTTTTACTTAACTTGGGCAGAAGGTAAATGACATGGTTGCCGTCATTACGAAAGATTCAAAGTACTACTTCCTTTAAGCCAAAAATAACACCTTTTTTATCTTACTTACTAGCTTTTGGTGTTTCTAGCCATACCGTACATTTTCGACGTTAAGACTTTTCGCTTTCCAACGTGGCTTTTTATATTCTAGTGAAAAATTGACTTGTAGTTCCTGAGTTTCTGGAGCAAAACTTTTAAAAACACCTTTCATGAACTGGACGTTATATTCTTCTCTTTACAGACGGACAAAGTTTTTTCTTTTGTGTTTTTCTTGCTTGCTGCGAAATTTTCTTTCTCTCTCAACCTTATCATGCATGCAACAACATTCTCCTCCTCGCTTATGAAAAGGATTCGTAATATTTCAAGTCCTCTATCAGGAGGTTTTACATAAAAGAAAAAACAGTTGTAGGAGGTTTAGCACTGCCTATAAGTCCTTTAACCATCGTCTATTTAGCCAGCTGCGAGCTTGTTCTTGTGCACTTGTCTGGGTTTAGCTTTACGGTCCCTTCTCGGACACAACCGCCTGTTACATCTTAGGTAGCCGCGTATGAAAAAAAATTTATTAAAACCGCTTCCTCCACCCTCTCAATACACTGAGGTTGACAAAATACTTTATAAACGGCACTTTCTTATCTCTTTTTCTAAGAGGCGGTTAAGGTTTATCGCTTATCACTTTCAGCGAAATCTCATTACTCACTTAGTCTTGTTATGCAATACTCTTCCTTCTGGTATTTCTAAGATATCGACAGTATTTCAAGTCTTCTAAGCCATCTGAACCGGATCTTGTCCCTCTCTCGTATTCAAAATCCTTTTCAAAATTTCTAGTAGATAGTTTCGTTGGTCGTATCTGGTAAATCGGGGGTAAGCGAACCGTCGGCGGGAGTCGGATGGGTTCGTCGTCGCCCTCGTTGTTTTCGAAAACCGACCCTCGCCTGCTTGCAGGCTGTTCCTCCAAAGGGTTTAGAAAAGGCTTTGAGTTATCTGCCAAACGAGATTTTCCTGCCAAACCTTCGTTCAGCTTCCGAAGATCTAACAGTGATAAACTTGCTCGTCTTCGAAAAACTCGCTTTTGCTCAGAACTAACAGTGCTAGTTTGAGCTGACGATTCGCTTGAAATGGATGAACGCCGTTGGCGTGTTCTTACCAGATTTTCTTGTTTCATGGCTTCCCCTTGACCCATAGTGAAACTCGTTGCTCGGCTTCTTGGTGTTGTTATTACCTTGGATACTTCCTCGTAAAATTGGTACGTTCCACTGCTTCCCCTGAGTTTCTCTTGATATTTCAGCATTTCGTTTTTGTCCTTTTCCATTTTACTCTCGGAAAAGAGTCGAATCTTCTCCAGTGACTTTTTCACTCTTTCCCAGTTACTATTCAGCTGGTTGTTTTGTACTGAAACTCTTCGGCCCAGATTTTTCGCTCGCAAAAGTGGCTCCTGTTGCAGCTGACTTCCTATCGGCGATAGATTCATGTCGGCGTGACAAAGTAACCAAGAAATTACGAATTCAAGAGTTTAATATTCCAGTCCTTCAATTTTTACCACTTACGAGCCTTTTACTCGCGACGCCGGTTTGTAAACTGAAAGACCCGCTCAATAACAGACGTATTTACATTGGAATGGCCTTCATCTGGTTTATTGCCCGTAGAAAGTCATTATGAAAGCGATATTTTCATGCAAATTCACCCTGACAATTGCTTTATTTCAAGGAATAAGGTATTTAAGTCCAATGTGTTAATGGAATAAAGGAAGGCGGGATGGAATCGAATGCTATTCATATCAAGAGAAAAACCCTGGTTGATAAACAAAGGCAGGTGCTATTTGCTATACTTTAAGAGCTATTTTTGTCTTTTACACATGGTACAATAACTAAAGTGTTAAGCTCTTTTTCCTGTTTTCACTTTTGCCAGAACTTAGTATGCTTAGCACAACGTTTGCAGAAAAATTCATAACAAACATCACTCTGCTCCGAAACCCTGTTGTAAGGTAATACTGATCGAATGTGCGCCGGCGTTTTTCGCCTAATTACACATTCAGTTAAGTTTTTGTTCCCGTCACCAAGTCTCTTGATTTAATTCACAAAAGGTTGTTGATAATTACTGTAATTTGAATTTCATTGGCTTCTTGCTGATTAGAACTAAACATACAAATATTCAATGCCACTTTTTTCCCTATCAGGTCTAAATAACCGTTATACCTTTTACCATTGTAATTGTTGGTATCACACGAATCAGATGTGTTTGTTAACCTGGTGCATTCATACATGTTGTGAGTCCAAAATCACAATTAATACTATCATTGTTGCAATTATAGAACCGCTCAATAAAGTTGACAGTTCGACTCTAAACTCGAGGATCGAGGCTTGGGTGTAGAGTCGATACTTTCTACTTACTATTTAGCGGTTCTCTTTAAAACTTTCTGTATTATTTCGATCTGATGTTAAATTATTCTTTTTTTCCCTTCTTAAGCCCAGTTTTAAAGTGGTATTTGCTATTGCTATAGGGATCGTGGTGATGGTTGTGGTTAAGCTGTCACGTGACGAGCATGAATCATGAAGCAATCAATTCTTCCCTGCGTCACCTGATCAAGGCCCAGGTTCCGACTCGCTAAGATGAGAAATGGTAAGAGTGAAAAAAGCCCATATAAACTAACTGGCGATCTACAAACGTGAGTTCAGAATGAATCTCTGATACTTCTGTTTAAAAGCGAAATATAAGCTTTTAAAAGTTAATATCCACAATAAATATGTTAAATAAAAACTGATGATCACTTTATAATCTACTCACTGCGATGCTAACCGCAACTAGTGTTGACATAGTCTAGAAGTGTTTCTGTCACCGTCCGCTTTGAGTCAACAAAACAGTTAAGAAAAGGCGCCGCCTAGCTGATCAAGGGAAATATGGTTGGCAGTTTTTTAATGATGTCAAAAATACATTGATGAGAGAGAAACACGATCCGTAAAAGTAGGATTATTATGGAAGGAAGCCGGTAATTTGTCAAGGGGCCAATAGGTATAGGAAGGAAATTAGCTAGGCCAAACCACGTATGTCACAGGACACCCACTTTCCACTGTCCATCGCAGCAAAAAGGGGACCAAAAACGCAGCTGAAAAGAACGAATTTTTCAATAGCAGCTAAAATCAAATTTATTGCCAATCAATTACAAGGGCAATTTATACAGCTTTACAAGGGAAATATACAAATATACAAAAAGATCACTATAAGGCTAGTTCAATATTTTCATTTCAGAATTGCTGGCTCGTATAAACATAAATCTATTTCATCTATCATCTGTCAACTCTAATCAATCAATCAATCAATTAATTAATCATTTAAAGTTAGACAAGCGTTTTGACTACTGCAACAGAAAGGCAAGGCAAATAAGAATGTATTCATAAATCAAAGCAATAATATGAAATTAACTCTTAAAAAGTCTTAAAAAAAAAAACAAAAATTTTGTGTTGACTGCATTTTAGTTGAAGTTAAACTCACTTGATTATCTTCTTGACTGATAATCTACACTCCTAAACATTATCATACCCATCACAAATTCCTCAAATGTTATTGGTGGATTACTACTTTATTTTTAACTCCTTTTTCTGTCAATTGTAATCAAAGTATAATTGGACGGTTGGCTGTACTCGGACACCTGTGATAGGACAGTAAAGGCAGCCAATTATATCAAGTCCACTTTGCTAGATCCACCAATCACAGGATTGATTGCAATAGCAACAACCACTTGCCCAACAAAACTAGGTAATTCACAAAAATGGAGAAGTTTTTTGCAATGTCTCTACCAGACATATTTTCTCAAATAAATGTACATTTTTTTGGAAATTGTAATGGTTATGAATTATTGGTAACATGGATTCCTTTTGTCCAGTTCCGTCTGCAATCATACTTATGATTTACAAATCAGACTTCCACTTAATGGTCTTCCAAGTTTGTAATCACTTGTATGATGACAGACAGAATTAGACTCCATTCTGTCCTGTTACCATTATTTATTTGTTGGGACACTTCTCTGTAATAATGTCTGTGATAGTCACCCCTCCCCCTACCCAATGTTGTTAATTGCCAATCAATGTTTCTACACCATTCACTAACAATATTTCCATGCCATAGCCTTCCAATGCTTTTATGCCATTAACCGCCAATGTTTTTATGCCATTAACTGCCAATGTTTCAATTATATCTTGTGGACCAACACTGAGGGTGGCAGGGGAGGCAGTAGGTGTGCCAACAATTGTGTTTGGGAGTATAGTTCCCAAGGAATAAGATTAAATAACAAGAAGAATTTAAAACTTGATTATATCAATACCATGCCAATTGCTGGAGAGACACTGAGCATTGCCCACTGAAGACTATCAATTTGAAGCTCCATAAGCTAAAAGTTGGTAAAATGCTTGTACCAAATTTCAGTTAAACTTCCTAGTGGAGAGAATTAACAATCAAGTCTTGGGAGTTGAAGGGTTAAGTTAAGTAGGGTAAGCAACCTTTTCACTTTCAGAAGAGATCAGCAGTGAATTTCTCCTTACCTAAGCGTGCTCTCAAGCAGAAACACAATGAGAAGCAAGAAATTGTCATCAAGGGATATTACTTGACTCAATAATTAATTTGAAGAGCCTAGCTTGTAGATAATGCATGGAAGACATTAGGGAGATCTGATAATGATATCTAAGGAGTAAAGTGACATGAAACCGAAAAGAGAAACAAGAATGGAGAAATATTGGGAAAGATAGAGATGAGGAAAGATGAAAAGATCGGATGAAACCAAACCCTGACAATCCCAAGCCTTTCAGTTAATACAGGGGGCTTTTCGATTAATTTACTTCAAATGTCTCCTTGATGTCCTCATGTGTTATGCACTTCACAAGAAATGGTGCAATCTTATAGAATTATCAAAACACAATTTTTTTTGCTGTCAAAAACAAAAAGCAATATTACAATTTTAAGAAATAGTCCTATTTTCTGTAAAACAACAAAGTCTTAGAATTACTTTAAAATTCTATTTGTCACAAGCACAGACAATGAATGTTGCTAATAAATTTTGATATCCCCCCTCCCACTCCACCAAATAATATGACTCACGGCCTCTTTTTACTCACACCTCTACTCACTGTCCTTGATTAGGTAACTGTTAGTAGGGTGGGAGCAATAATTATACTTTGGGAAGGGGGGGTAAGTAAACTATCCTATTAAACTTGATGCTACATTCTTAGTCCTTGCAGTCGTAAAGTCTGAAAGAAAGTTCAAAACAGCAGTTTAGTAAAACCCATGAAACAAATTTCTTCTAAAAATCAATCAACCAAGAGTTTATGATTATAATCTTTTTTTATAATGGTTTTTCTGATAAGAGTTTGGATGATAACATGAAGGTTATTAAAAGTTCATTCAATCTGTAATGAATTTGTGGAAATGCATTCACACATGACACACAAAAATTGTACATCATATATCAATGACCTCCTCCAATCAACCCTTGAAAATCAGTTATTCCATGCAGCACAAAAAATTTTGAATGATATTTAATTTCATTCAGAGTATCATTACTTCTCTCATTACCTTTGCCTTATCACTTTGTTCAGTCCCTCCTGCCCCTTGTTCTTGTGAATCAGACACATCTCTTGACACAACACATAAAAATTCTGCTTGATCTTCACTACCATAGTTGTAATTACTGCCAACACTTATTAGCTGGAAATGAAGATATATATCACAAATTTGATGAATTAAGGAAAAAAAATATATACTGTTTTCCTTCTATAGGTATGTGCTTAACTTTAAAATCCCACCTTGTGTTAGAACCAGTTTAAATTTTTCTTTTACACCAACAAAAAAATTCACTTATTCTTGTTTCTTATAGTCACTGTGAAGACATCCCTCACGGCTGGTTTTTAATAAGTGAGAGATTTGGAACTAGAATCAAATCTGGAGTGGTAAGAATGCTTGTGACCTTGTGAACACCTTAAAATCAGAGATAATGTATAACTGATGGCTAAATAACAACAGCGTGTGGACATGATGGTTACTGTTCGATTACACCATCCAATTACAAGCATCACGCATACACTGTCCTATTAGTGCTCAAATTGGGTTGATGATAACCAATCATATTCAAGAGTTTTGTAGTAATTTTTATTAAGATACTTGTATCCATGCAGGTAACTGTTTGTTTCTCTTCTTTGTCATAGTTTTGATTAATTATGGGATTTGAACCCATGACCACTGCAATACCAGTGCAGTGCTCTACCAACTGAGCTGGTCATTATGCTGGTTCTTAATAAACCCGTGAAGTGATGAACCAACAAATGAAAATCATAGATGTTAACTGCGGTTTTTAACCCTTTAAGTCCCACTAGTGACTTAGACAGAATTTCTCCTCACACAATCAGTACAATACCAAGCAGAAAAGTAATAAGAATAAAGAAAAATATCAATTAGGGGATTATTGGTTGTTCCAATTCCAAATTCCCCAAACTAACATCATATGAATTGTTTGGCAGACAGTAAGGAGAATTACTTATGAGATCTTGGGAGTTAAAGGGTTAAGAA